TGAAGTCTTCTTTGGCACTGATTAAGTTTAACCTTTATGTTTGGAGATCGTGATTGTTGCCATTGACGTCTGAGTGTTCTCTTTTCTTTAATAAGAGACTCAATGTTCCTAGGACATTTCGATTTTTTGAAGTCTCCCAAGGTGACTGGGGGTGTAGACACTTTGACAGCATCTTGTAAGATATCCGTAAATATATCGACAGCGAATTGTATTTCATGGTCATTCTTCAATGAAATGTTTTGTGGCAGGTGTGAGCTAACATACATTTTATACTTTAACCAGTTCGTTTTCTTGTTAGGGAAACAAGAACAATAGTTTTCCAATTTATTTGGGGTTTCTAATAACGTTAAAATTGTAGGCGAGTGGTCTGACGAGAGGTCCAATGAAGGGATCACTGAAATAAATTCTCGTTTTATATTTTTGATTACAGCAAAGTCAATTAGATCGGGAATCTTATTGAGGTCTGTAGGCCAATAGGTAGGTTGGCCACTAGATATGGCATCTAGTCTGTTGTACGATATTGCTTCTAGCAATTGTCTGCCTTTGGGAGTAATGAGGCGAGAGCCCCAAAATGTATGTTTTGCATTATAATCACCAGCTGCTATGAATCTTGGGCCAAGAGTTTTAAAGTATTCGAGAAACTGCTCTCGATTAACATTATACCTAGGAGGACAATATATTGAAGATATTGTAACTCGACTATCAGGTATATTTATAGAGGTGGCCTGGATATGGTCCTTTTTGTATTCTGGCATTGGGAAATGTCTAATATTTTTTCTCACTAAAATGGCTGTTCCACCAAGGGCTCTGCCACTTGGATGTTTTGTATCATAAGTGTAGTATCCATTAATTCTGAAACAATTCTTTAGGGTAAAGTGTGTTTCAGAGACGAGTAGTACGTCAATTTCCTGAAGTAGCAGGAATTGTTCTACTTCATTCTTGTGTTGGCTAAGGCCGTTAGCATTCCAAAAACAAATTCTTAGAGAATTCATTTTTTATTTAGCAGGATCTGCATGAGCATGCTTTGATTCTGCATTAATTGTTGAAACATATTTTGCATATTTGCCATGAAACTGTTCATGGTTTGAATTAGATTCTCAATAGAGCTCTGAGAATTTGTTTCGGGTGCAGGCACACCCTCTTTTAATGCATGTGCATATGAAAATAATGGGGCATTATTTTCATTGTTTGATTGCAAATTCTCATTATTCTTATTTGTAAGACTTCTATATTGGGCACTAGAAGTTTGATTTGCATTCATTTGGGTAACGGAACCCTCTTTTGTCGTATGGGCATACGATTTATTCTGATTGCTTTTATTTGTGATACTTCTATATTGAGCACTAGAAGTATTAGGAAGGCTTGGGAAGTTAGAAGCTTTATATTGAGCATATAAAGGTCTTCTGGCCTTATTTGATTGTTGGATGTGTAGATATACTGGACATCCGCGATAGTTAGCAGTGTGATTTTGACCACAGTTACTGCATTTTCTTTTATTGTTATCTGTTTTTGGGTAAGGACAATCTTGACTCTTATGGATGTCTCCGCATCTCACACAAACAGATGGTAATTTGCAGAAAGTTCTGGTGTGACCGAACTCTTGGCAATTTAGGCATTGAGGAGGACCTCTGCGCTTAATGGGTTCCTCTACAGTTATTTTGCGATTGAGAAGATATCTTAAACTGTATATTGGATGAGTATCACCCTTTTTTTTCAATTGTGAAGAGTTAAAAGTAATTTCAACTCTAAACATTGGTTGGGGAATTTTGTCCTTGTTAAATATATTGTGAATGGACTTCACTTCATAACCTTCAGACTCTAGCGCCTTTTTAATGTCATCAGTTGGTACAGAGCTGTCTACACCTTTGATAACTACTGTCAAACCCTTTGCACTTTTTAGTTGATACGTGTAATAATTTCTTTTCTCAGAATCAAAACTATCAACTATTGTTCTAAAAGACTTTTCTGAATAAGTCTGTATTTTTGTTTCCTGAATGTTTCCTTTCCGTAGAGAGACTACATGGAAATTTTCTTTGCCTACAAGTTGGGACAACTTATTTACCAATAGATTGGTGGTAGGTTCGCGCAAATAGAGGGGAGGTGGCTTTTGGTCTTTTAAAGTCATGGATGGTACTTTTTCACTTTCTTGGTTATCAAGCAGTGCAAAACGATTTTGACTTACGGAATTTGTTTTCGCTTGTTTTGGATTTGGTTCCAATTTTGAAGTCCTAGGGCTGGACTTACGTTTTGCATAAGTGACATAACGGTCCATTCCCGTTTGGATCTTTTGCGTTTTATGCGAGCTCAATAAATTTGGAGTATTTTTTGGTATGGCACCAGTATTCTTTGACATTGGGCTTGAGTGACCCTCCTTATCATTAATGGTTTTCACAGTGTTAATATTGTTATTGGTACTATTTGTGATATTGTTCACATTAGCATTACTATTTACATCAACCATTGAATCAGTTGTTTGATTATCTATTTTTTCTTTTGCTTTGTCTTCCACACAATTGTCTTGTTTTGGCGCACTTGAGAGAGGAGATCTCTCGTTTGTTGTTGTTTTTGAATCTGTTGTTTGTTTATTTATTTTTTCTTTTGCGCTATTATCTACACAATTGTTCTGTTTTGGCGCACTTGAGAGAGGAGATCTCTCGTTTGTTGTTGTTCTTACACTTAAATAGTTTTTATGATTTTTTGGGTCATAATTATTGTTGTTGTTGCATGGAGAGCTCATAACAAAGTATGCATTTTTTCCATTGCTACTGAGCCTCCTTTCACTTGTTGGAGAGTTAGAGAAACTCATGCACAATAACACACACTACACTCTATTTAAGGTTTTGTTGTTATTTTTTTCTTTTTGTATACTTTTTGCTTTTTTATAAATTGTTTTGTTAATAATTGCATTAACAAAAACGACAATTTATTTAATTTAAATGTATTTTTAATATTAAAAATAAATAAGTATGTATTTAATTAGCGTCCATTCGCTGTTACTTATCTTTTTTTATATTTTTATTAAGAATTTATATTCACAATGTTATTTTCCTGTGAGAGCGATTTAAAACACGTCTATCCACTATCAATCTGGGTTTTGAAATATCGCAATTGTTGGCCCTTTTTGAAACATTAAAACAGAGTAAAGAAAATTTTATTTATACAATTTTGTAAGCCATCTAAAGTCCATTCTGTCAACTCTAAAATAAAGGCTTAACATCTGGTATAACTTCTTTCTTCTTCGAGATATTTTTACCTAAAGCTTGATACAACAACAAATTTACAAAAACTGAAGTTTTCATACATTTCGCCTTTATTTTACAAAAATCATACACATATATTCACATTTTACACATTTTTTGATGTATCTAACTTAAAAACTACAAAATGTTACTTCTAGTACCTTTTAACACATTCGAAACAATTTTAGTACTTTTTCAACTTGTATTTTCCAAGTATGTACCAAACTTGAACAATACCATCTCTGAGCCGCCGCTAAACATTTGTATACACTTGCACTAAAGCTCTCTTAGCTCTTTAGTCATTTTCGCTGTGAGTTCGTTAGAGTGCGGTCGTGTTGTGTTTAAACGCGGACGGTCAATTGAAAAGTTTTTTTTACCGATTTTAACAAATTGTAAAAAAGAAAAAACGTTTAGAAAAATAAATAATAAAGTTTTTAAATGTGAAAAGAAGAAATTAAAAAAGTAAAAAAAAAATAGAAATATCTAATACAAAAGCCACAATAGAAAGTGCAAAAGAATATGAATAAAATATTGTAATAAATATTGGTATTTAATACGAAAAAAATATATGTAAAAAAATAATATTTGATTGTGTGAGAGTATTTTTTGGTGTGAAAGAAAAAGAGTCAAAAGAAAAATTCGCAAATAAAAAATTAAAAAAGAATTAACGTGTGTGTTTTTTTGTTGCTTGCTGTCTTTATTCATAATATTTTAAATAATTGAGAGCTAGTGCTAATATTGAAAGAGGAAGAAGTGAGGAAGTGGCAAGAGAAGTGCGAAAATCAAAATACAAGTAATTTTGTGTATGAGAGCTCCACTAATTAAAATCAATTTAAAAAATATTTAATATAATAAAACAAGTGAAGAAGAAAAGGAATATTGTATACAAAATACAAGTGAAGCAAAGAAATAAATCAATAAATTGTAATTGAAATATAGAAAAAAAAATGAATAAATTTCGTCGTTAGTGAAAAAAATTTACGTAAAAATACAAAAAAAAAGCTATTAGTGCGTAATTGTGTTTGTTCAAAAAGTTTGCGAATATTATTAGAAGGCAGAAGAAAATAAACAAAAACAACAACAATAATATTTTGTATAAGCTTTTGTGCGTAATATTGAGGTCATTCATCAAATATCAACGAAGTAGATGAATAATAATAGAAACAACAACAAAAACTGAATCAAAAACAAACATACAAGTGTAATTTTCAAACAATTTTCCTAATGTTGTAATTGTAATGTAAAGTTGTTGTCGTTTCTAGTGTGTTCCGTTATGTTTAGTTTAGTTTTCAATTGTTTGGTTGGGTGATGCAAAACCAACCAAATAAATAAATAAGTAAGAGAAAAACAACAACCACATAGTAGTGGAATTTTTGTTTGTGTATCAAACTAAAAGAGAGTGAGCAAATGAATGAGTGAGTGTAAATAATTGTGCGTGCAAATAACAACAACTAAACAGCTGCTTTGCCCTTAAAAATAGCAACAACAAACACAACAACGTGAGCTTAACTAATACTACGTAATCAAATTTTAATGTGAAATGTAATGAAATGAAAGGTGTTATTTTGATAAATTAAGCTGTAAATAAAATAGACGTTTATTTGAGAGTAAAACAAAACAAAAAAAACCAATTGAATCGTAAAAACAGGTGTAAAAAAGAAAATTAAAAAAAGCAAAATTACTACCCAAAGAAAATAAATATGTAAACAAAACCTAGAGAGGGAGATAAAAAAATTGTTAATTTAAAACACATGTGTATGAAAAGAAAACAATTGTTTTTTTTATTTTATTAAATGAAACAAATAATAAAATAAAGCTAACGAATTAATTAATTAATTATCTTTAAACAAATTTGTGTCAAATACATTTTGTATATATTGTTTGTGTATCTTCATCTCTTATATCTTCAACATATACGAAAATTCAAGGTGTGTATATTTTTGTTGTTATTGTTGTTGTGTTTCTTTTCCATATTAAACGAAAAAAAATTATATATAAATGTTCTGCTTGTTGTTGTACAATGTATATTTTTATAATTATTACTCCATTCACCTACTTTCGTGCTTAATATATTTTTTAAACTCCCCCTTCGCTTTCTTATCACTGGAAGAAGAAAAAAAACAACAAAAAAAAACTTATGAGCACAGAAAATAATAAAAACAAAAAGTATAAAAATAAAAAAATTTAAAAAGCAACAAATCAGAGATGAAAATGTTGGTACATTTGTACAATTTTTGGTACAACTTTTAAGTGTAAAATTACATAGCCCAATAGATTTTTAAACCAGAGACTAAAGTATAATTTTCTAAATGATTGAGCAGCTCCGAATTGGAATATGACAACAGATTTTTTTATAGTGTTTTCGAGATATGGGATCTCAAATTTTGATAAAACTCAATTTTTGGTCAATTTCTAAAACAGATTATGATTTAATTTAATCCTTTAGAAAATAATACCTTGGTCTCTGGGTTTAAACTTTTTTAAAATTGTGCTATTTGTGATTTAATTAAAAATATGAGCATATGCCGGTTTTAAATCATACGTACAGAAATTATTTTGAAATTTATTTTATTTATAAACCGATTAATATTGATTTGACCACTGAAAGGTAGATAGATTCTTGTTTGTTATACTACTTATAATCCCAAGTTAACTTTATTTCAAAAGAAGTCCCGTCAGGATAAAGAACTGGGAGCCTATCCAACCGATCACCTTCAAAACACATGATCTAGGAGATACCTAGAATTGTTAGAACTGATATATTTTTTTAGGCATAAAAGAACTTAGGTCTTTTTTGATGGTATTGCCAACCGACGAACCTTTTTAAATTTAAAAGTACTTTTCGTTTTTTACCGATTGTGAAATAAAGCAATTTTGAGAATTCGAATTTTTAAATAGTTTTACTGGTTAATATAACTAATTTATATACTCGCCTGTTGACTAGTTTGAAAACTATAATCAAGGCGAATTCAGATAAATTGGTGGCAGTTCGGCAACAACAAAATTTTCCATGTAATTTGTTCTTGCATTTGGTACGCACCGATTTCAAAATCAATAAATGCGGCTTATTCATTTAATGAAAATGATTTGTAATATTCTTTTGTTTTATAAAAAATGTTTGAGTGGAATAATGTTTGTTCTAAATGAATAATTCTACTTCGGCAGATTAATTTTGCAAAACGTAATTAATATTTTTGTGAAAAATAAACATAAAAATTAAAAATGTATGGAAAACTGATATACCGAATGAAACAATCTTTGTTGTAAATGGAAAATTATACTCCGGCGAAGTAATTTTTAAGATTTGCACCTTGTAGACAGCTGCCGCCGGACGGGTAAATACCTCATATGGGTTTTGTTATGAAAAGCGTTCCGGAACAGAATTTTGTTAGTTAATCACATTATATACACAGTGTAAATATAAAACAATTTATAAAATTCGGATCGAAAAATTTGACCATAAAGTAGAAGACAGCTGCCGCCGGTCGGGTAAATATCTTATGTGTTTTTTTTTAATATAAAACAATATTGTTTAATTTGTTAACATTTAATTGAAAAAATATAATTGTTATATTAAGTTGCTACATTCGCACCAATTATTCATTATTTATAGAAAGAAAAATATTTGTATACAAAATGCTTGGTATTTTCAGATTTTTTACATAAATTATTCAAAATACTAACGAAGTTTTTCTCTATTTTAACGGAAATTTTAAAATTTAAAAATGTAATCAATAACAAACTCTGACATCTTAGCGTACCAGCCAATGAAGAAAAAAAAATCAGCTAATTGAATAACACCACCTTATGTGAATTCGCCTTGACCAGAATGTTGACTAGGGTAATGGCAAGTTTATTAACTAGTCTATGAAGACTGTTTAGTATTCACTAGTCTATGGAAGATTTATGGACTTGTCTATTGAATAATCTAAGATCTAGCCATGTACTAGCGTAGAGTTTTCTATAAACTATTGACCAGTTTAGGGAGTATTGTATTAACTATACTCAAACTGATTGAGTTAGTTTATGAGTTACTAGATACCCGGTTTCTATAAATATTGTTGTATTATTTTCCGGTGTCAAAATGTTAAAAATTAAACAATGTACCTTTCCATCCCTGACTGACGTTTCAAATTGTGAAAGAATTTGGAGTTAATTTCACTTCTATTTAAGAAATGTCAAAATATTTTAAGAACAATTGTATAAGTTCCAATTCAAGATAAATTTTACATCACAAAAGTACAATTTTTATAGTGATGATTTAACTACTACTAGTACTTTCCCTACTTTTATACAAAATATAACTTTATAATACTCTCTTCTTAGCGTTAATTCTCTTCTAACTCATACTCTCTTATTATTTTCCTAACAAATAAAAACATTGACAATGAATTCTCTCTTATAAGAAAAGTAGCAAAAAGAAAACAAACATTCTCTTACTCATTCCATGCTCTCGCTATTAACTAAAAAACCGACACGAATTGCAATTGATTTTGTAAATAAATATAGAAAAATATCTTCAAAAAAAAATTAAAAAATCAACAAGAAAACTTATGTAAATATTAAATATAGTATTAATATTCTAACTATAATATATTACATTTTTTAACATAACCAAATAAATCAAATAAGAAATTTGTCTAACGATACAAAAGAAAGAAAACTGTGTCAAGTGTTTATAATAAGATTATCTTTCTATTTATCCCAAAATGCAACCAACGAAAAAAGAGGAAACAAATATTTGTGGTCTGTGTGTGTACATATTTGGTGCATGTGGTGTTTTTATATCTTTTGGATTCATTCATTCAGCTTTTTTTTCTAGTTGTATGTATAAAAGTGTATAGAGTACATTTACCAAACATGTTGTAATATAAAGTGAGAGCTTCATGTTGTTTGTTTGTTTGTTTTCTTTTGTACATGTGGTTGGTAGGTTGTTGTTTCAAACAACAATCATTGAATATTTATGTATGTTACGGACAAAAAGTTGGTAATAAAAAAAAACCATCATAAGTAGTTTACGATAACTGTGAAATGAATAGAAAAGAAGGTGTTTAAATGGCATAATTAATGGATTTTTATTGGTAGATTAATATTTAAGGGTGTTTGCAAGTCAAGTAGTCTTTTATTAACGCAAAATTTAGTTTCAATTGCTTATTCAAATTAGGAAATTAGGACTCATGGTTTACAAGATTATAGATTATGTGTTCGATTTAATGAAATTAAAATAAAATTTGAATTAAATATTGATTTTCCAAAATAAAACAAGTAAGAGTGTTATATTCGGCTATGCCGAATCTTATATACCCACCATCAAACCGTATGCTTCCCCTATAAACATTAGGGTGACATTTGGAATAGACCATATATGTATGGGGATAGGATCCATTATGGACCGATCCTCAAAAAAATTGTTTTTGAGAGATTTTTGCTCGTAAGATACTTTCTTATGACGAATTTCATCACTATGCTTGTATTTTTTTTTATCCAGTAATGAGAGTTAAAGTCATTTTCTGAAGGGGACCTTATATAGAGTGTAGGGTCAATTATGGACCCATCCTCATAAAATGTGCTACAGAGATTTTAACTCATATGAAACTTATGTCGAATTTCATCGATATACTCATGTTTATCCAGTAATTAGCTTTAAAGTTATTTTGTGGAAGGGACCTTATTTGGGTGTAGGGTGAATTATGGACTCATAAAATTTGGTACAAAGATTTTGTCTTGTAGGAAACTTACTTATGACCAATTTCATCGCAAAACTCGTAATTTTAAGCCAGTAATGGGTGTTAACGTCATTTTCTGAAGGGGACTTTATATAGGGGGTAGGGTCAATTATGGACCAATATTCATAAAATTTGGTAGAGATACTTTTAACCAAACAAACCTTACCTATAGGGAATATTTGTGTAAAATTTTAACCTTCTAGCTTTTTCCGTTCGGACTCTATCGCGTTTTCAACAGACAGACGGACATGGCTTGATCTTCTTAGAATTTAATAAGGACCCGGAATATACATACATATATACTTGTGTGGGTCTATGACCAATATTTTGATATGTTACAGACGGAATGACAAAAACAATATACCCCCATCTTTTTTGATGGTGGGTACAATTAAAGTTTTTTTGCAAATTTTTTTGCAAATTAGTTTTTTTATAATTTTTGTAAATAAAATCTGATATTTTAGAAAATGTCAAATCTTTAGTGAAATATCATAGTTTTTGTAAAATAACAGTTTTTTGTGAAAAATGTGAGTTTTAGTAAAACTTTTGTGATAAAATTAGTTGGGTTCCATTGCCGGCAGTAGCTCTGGTTAATTATAATCATCGCCTAGTTCACCTAATATAGAATACAGATGTTGTTATAAATGAAAACCCAATATAAACATAAAATTCCATTCTCATCACTTTTAAATGACCAGTAGCAAATGTGGCTATTAAAAAAACCCCATAATTACAATAAAGCACATCGAATGAATCCCTGTTTATTAACCAACGCTGCAGTCAAAATTCTAATTAAAATTTCAAACATGATAGCATGAGTATTAAATCGAAATGATGACAATTCCTCGTAAATCAAAGTAAACGAGAGAAATATTTGTAAACTCATATTTTTAATTAAAATGATTGTTTAATAAAGGTAATCACGGTTTCATGACACTGACAGTGACGTTTTCATTTTAAATTAAAATCAAATACAATCAATAATAAAGCAACACAGACCCTTCTTTAAACAAAATGAATGAATAAATTAAAAAAAACAAACGTTCTACACAATACAAAGTACTTGAAATTGTCAACACGTACCACACAACACACACACATACTTATAATATACACATGAAAAGGAGAGTGAATGTGAAAAAGGAGGCAACAACATACAATTGATTATGATTTCATATGTCAGGAATATTGAAGTGACTCAAAAAAATTTTTTACACAATTTCTTTAGAAGAAAAGCTACCAAAAAAAAAAAACGAATAAAAAAATCCTACTCAGATGATCTAATCAACACTTAAGGAGTATAAAAAAACACACAAAAGCTTCAAAAAAAACTTTCCACTTGTGTGTCCCTTACAGACTTAAATAAGCTGAAATTCAATAACCCACGTACACAATTGTCACACCTATAACGAAGTAAATCCCAAATAAAATAGAAATAGAGAGGGGATAAAAGGAAAGACACCAACCAATAAATTGATGAAGATAAAGACAACAACTTACTGAACAAATCATTTAAAAAGAAAACAAAAGAATTTTTTGAGCTCCCACCAAATGTGTTAGATTTGAAATTCCTTTTCATTAGGATTGAGTGTTCACTGTGTCTGACTCATTCAATAGTAGAATTGTGTTGTGTAGTATTTCTTTTCTTTTTTTCGGGTATTTCCCAAAAATTCAAGTTTTTGTGTAATAGTCTACCTGGTTTTATGTTTGTATTTCATTTAACAAATTATGTTTAATTTAATGGTTCCTGGAATGTTTGTTTATGGGTTTATAAACTTTTGAAGTTGATATTTTATTTGTCATCAAAGGCTTTCATAATTTTATTAATGACTTTTAATCATATTAGTTTATTTTGAAGATTTTTTCTGGGAAGACTGACTACACATTTCGCAATATGTTTTAATATTTCGCTTAAGAACACAATTATGTTTCTTTGCAATAAACATATGTATACCAACATGTTGAAGCAACATTTGTATGTAGTATATTTCGAATTTTACATCAAATCTTGTGTTAGCTCTTTATTATTAATTAATATTTTAACTAGTATTTAACAATATAATTCCTCTTTTCTATCTTTTTAGATAATTTTCTCCAAAATTCAATTCAATAATACAAAAAACTAAAACAAAATGGCTGCTACTAGTGCTGGTCATATACAGCCACAACAACAGCATCAACCCACACAACAGCAACAACAAAAAATGAATACAGCAGCTGCCACAATGAATGGTAATATAAATAGAAATACGCCACAGCAGCAGCAACAACAACAGCAACAACAGCAGCCACAAATACATAATTTACAACAGCAGCAACATGTAATGCAACAATATGCTTTAAAACAGCAACAACAGCAGCATAATTACAATATGCAACAACATATGCATCAACAGCAAATGATGCAGCAGCAGCAACAACAACAGCATATACATCAACAACAAATGCAACAGCAACAACAAATGCATTTAAAAATGCAACAACAGCAAATGTTTCAAAATCAAACGTCGCAAGATTCATCAACAAATATGATGCCTTGTCAAAACTATATGACACCCATGCCACAAACTCAAAATAAATTTGCTGGCAACTCTTACAACAATAATGCAACGGCTCAAATGCCGTCACATTATCAAAATCAATTTTCCAATAATCAAAGATCTATGCAACAAAATGGCAACTTACCAACTGGCTTGGTAAATGGTAACAGTGCCAATACTAGCAACATGAATAGTCGAGCAACTTGCATACCACCCAATGTGGTAGCTCCCTCAGCTAATCAAAATATTTATCCACATCAAAGTAATAATCACAATAATAATGGCAACATGATGCAGCAACATAATCATAACAATAATATGATAACACAACAGCAACAACAACAAAACTCATCTTCAGCACATTATAACCAACAACAACATCAGCAGCAGCAGCAGCAACAACAAACACAAAAGTTGCAACAAATGCCAACACAAACAGATTTGAAAAATGTCAATCACATTAATGCTCGTCATCAATTACAAACTATGCATACAAATACTAAGCAACATGTTGCTAATAACGATAATAACAATTGTAATACTAATTGTAATGCTAATTGCAATACAAATATATCCCATAATCATTTCAATGCAAATGGATTAAATTCAAATGGTTTAAATTCCAGCAACATTAACGCCAACAACAATCACAATCATTCAATGTTATCGGGAGTTAAGGCAAATATACCACATGGTTGGCGTCGTCTTACCAACAATAACAATGAAATAGTTTACATAAGGTAAGTTCATTTTGTTTCTTTTTTTTTATTATACGATATTTAAATACATTTTCTATTGACCTTTTTTTATTGTTAGAAATTACACTAAAATATCTAAATATTTCCATTTCACTTGTATTCATGTTTGGTTACCTTAGGATTTAAGCTTGTGAAATCTGCTTAGGTATTTTATTTATTTAACAACAATTCAAGTTATAATAGGATTTGATTGTTTAACTAGTAAGAGTGAGAGGAAAAAAAGGTGAAAAAAGAAAACTTATGTATTAACCTGGCTAAGTAGGTTGTAAGTAGATAAAGTGATCAGTCATTTGGATGAGTTTTGTGCTTGGGAAAATAAACTATAGTTATTTAGTTAATCTTGGCATTAAAAGTGTTAGGTAGACATGTTAAATACATACATATGTATTAGCTTAAAAGCTAATACTTTATATTTATATAAAATGGATAATTTTATCAAATGTGGGTTATAAATTATAATATATAAATAATTGGACATTTTTGTTACAGCCCAGATCATACTTACTGATCATATCAATATATTATAGTCTGCTCTTTTTGAGAGCTGTTTAGAGAGTATCATTTCTTTTTCATGTAAGCATCAAATCCCAAATGCGCCCATGTCCTAGATCTCATATCAATTTTACAATGTTGTTTGAGAATCTTTTCGATCTGGTTACTTCCTACCAATACATTCTACTTGTGGACGAATGAATAAGTTAAGATCACGTCAGGCTAAACGAGCTGATATATCTGAAACCGTTCACGTAAATATTATATTCAGACTTAATACTCGGATTCTACCGTCAATGGAACAGTTCAATTTAAAATGAAAATATAGAAATCACAAATAAAAAACTAAAATTTGAATGGATAAAGATATTGTAAAAAAGTTTTGAACTTATATAGACCCATATCTTTCTAAAGGAACGGTGTTGCCAGTGAGTAACGTTTAATTTTACACTCTTATGCATTAAGTTCCCTTTCCGGATCATGTAAAAATTCTATATAGACCCGAAGGAAAACATATTAGTAATGTAATGTATAAAAATGAATTTGTGTTTGTTTATTTTTTTGTATGTTTGAAGTCTATAGACGATTAAACGGCTGTACCGATTTTCTTGAAATTTTAACAGTATCTTTCTACATATCTTGAAGGAATTATAGGTTACTTTCTATTTGGAAATTTCAAGTAGGCGAGGAGCCATTGGGAACAAAATGGGCGGCCTAGGTTCAGTGGGCGTGGCACCTCTCACATAAAGAAAATATTAAAGCAGTATATCTGAGAAAATGTAACAGTTAGAATCCCAACGGAGCTACTTTAGTATCATTATGAATATTTAAGACAAAATGGACTGAATAAAAATACTGGGCATGGCACCTCTCTCATGAAATAAGTACATATATCTGGAAAGCCACCAGAGCTACAATTTTCTAATATTGAATGGACAAAATTAAAATTTATTTTTGGGGGAAAATGACTGGACTAGCAATAGTTCGTATATCTAGGAAACTATAAGAGATAGAATCCTCAAAATTTTCACCAACAACTTTGAAATAGTGGGAGTGTCGCCTCCCATATCAATTAAGTACAAATATTCGTATATGTGGAATTAGAGCTAGAATACTCAAACTTTGCATGAGCAACATTGGCTATAGTGGGCGGCCACTTACCACATAAAGAAAATACAAAAATGCGAAACTATTAGAGTTAGAATCCTCAAAATTTACATGAACAACTTTGACATCCATGTGAACATAGGGGGCGTGGCCCCTTTGAAATAAATTAAATATAAAAATTCTTATATGAGGAAAAACGTTAGAGCTGAAATCGAGCTAAACTATTGTAGGGCGTGGCACCTCACATCTGAATTTCATACTGACGTGAATATCATATTGTAATGGTTTTTTAATTATATTATTTTAAGGGTAGCGAAGCACACCGGGTATAGCTAGTATATTATATTAAGTATTTATCTATTTTGAAAATCATTCATTTAATTTCCAATTAATCCACTTAACTTAACTCAAATTATTTGTTTATTAAACCATAACAACAATGTTAATATTATATTATATTATACAATACACCAAAAGAAATTTTAATAATTCCTTTGAATTTATATACTCAATAGAAATCCTCACCCAAAAAAGAAAAATGAGAATCTACTTTCTTATTATAGTTAATACACAAACACAAGTAAGAAGAAAACTTATTTTGGTTTTCATTTCCGCTTAAAACGAACACAACAACAACAACGCAATATATCCGGGTATGAGTAAGTGTTTAAAGTTTATAACCTTACAACAAAATCGTACACATAAAAAAAACAGGATAATATTTGATGAAACCATAAAAATTGTATAACTATGCGTAGCATACTGGTTTATACATATTTTTTCCTTTATCCTTGAAAGGATATTATTACTGCTTTTTTTAACTTATATTGTTATAAATTTGTTTGGGGTTGTTATTCAAAAATTTTTTTTTTTTGCTTCATTTGGTTTGTATTTTTCCTGGGGTTTAGTGTTGTTTTCTCTACCACTTTTTTCCTTTTTTGAGTTAAATATTTAAAATTCAAATTCTTTTTCCTGGGCCTGAAGTGATGTTTTTCATTCCGCCTTTTTCTTTTCTTTATTTGTTAATAAGCTTTAAGTTTATTTGCAAAATATAATTTTTTTCTTTCTTCCTAAATTATTTTTACATATTTTTTTTTGTAAATTTTTATTTCTTCATTTATTTATTTATTTCGTTGATTTTATTCACATAAAATTAGGTTAATTTTCATGGTTAATATAATGCCACTTAAAATGTCAATAGCAATTTTATTTGCATAATTTTTTGAAAGTTTTTCTTTTTGATTTTTTTTCTTTCAAATTTACCTTCTGCTTGTTAAAAGACATATTCTTGTTGCTGGCTGCGTTGATTTATTAGCATAAATTTTTGGCATGATTACTTATTTAGCTTTGACGGTATTAAGTTTTAAGGAAAATGTGTATTACAAAAAGCTTTGTAAAGTATTTGTTCTTTTGCCATCAAGTGTTAAGGCATAAAATTTGAAAATGTTTAAATATTCCTAATAAATCTCTACTGGCGATCTGTAATGCAGCAAAAATATCTTTTTTGGAAGTTAATTTTAATAGAATTTTGTTTATTTTTAAACTTTCTTTCAAAATCTCTTATCTGCTCAATAATTTGCAAAATATGTCTATTTTTATAATTTCTATAATTATAGAACATAACCAGATAAGAAAGTTCTCTAAAACCTATTTGTGGTACAATTATTTTGTGTTGACAACATATTAATCAAATTTTATTAACATTTGATCACACACGCACTTAGTCACCCCTATAAATATACATAAGGCATGACCTAATTTGAAATTAATTGTGTAATTAAATGCCAACATTAACTAAGTACTTTTAGACAAACAACAAACACTAAGTCATAAATAATATTTTCCTTTTTTATGAGCTCTTTACGAACGCATTAAAATAAACTTAAAACGACTAAGAATAAGAAACAAATAAATAAAAAAAAATTACCAACAGCATAATAATTTAATGTTAAAAATAAACAGAAACTCAGAAACTCACAGTAAAAGATTAAAAATACATAAAAACCTAAAAACAAAATAAATATTAAAAAAAGAAAAAAAAAAAAATAAACTTGTACAACATGACTTTGCGCTTGCGCTTTATTTGAACAGCAACCAAACAGCAGCTAAGAGAAAAAATTGTTCCATAGAATTTTAAACTACCAGAGAGACGGACGGATGGACAGACAGACAATAAAGCGATAACAAGTAAATAAAATATATAAAAAAACCAACTGTTTATAAATATTATAGTCATTTAGTTTTGAAATAACGAGGTTAGAACGAAAAGTTTCTTGGTTTTTTGCGGCTGTCTATCTGTCGTGGTTAAGAGCAATGGCTGTTATAATATTAGCGAGTGAATGCAAGAAATCGTATGAATAACTCTGGCAATTTTGTTTTATAAAAATCCCAGCAAAAATAAATCGAAGTACTTCCAAAAGAATTAGATTTATCACCACTTCAAAAGTAGCAGTAAGTGAATTTTTTTACCATCTAACGAAGTGATGTTTAACGACTTACAAAGAAGCGAAAATAATTATATTTTTGCAAAACTAAAGATATGTATATTTTTTATACCAACATTTTGGGTCATTCCGTGGGTAACACCAAGAAATTCTCAACTGAGACCCAACAAAGTACATATGTATATATATTCTGGATCTTTATGAAATTCTGAGTCGATTTAGCTATGTCCTGCTGTCTCTCTGTCTGCCTCAAACACGTTCACGTTAAAACTAATCTAAAGAAATCAGCCAAATTCTTTGAAAATATTCATTATTGTCCTAAGCAGTTTGGTATTGAAAATCAGCCAAATCGGTCCCCAACGTAATAAGTTATGAGCTAAAATTTCAGACTACCTCGAAAAAAATTAAGATTTTTTTCCTAATTCTTGAGTAATCTTCTCAAAAACTACCAAATATAATTGGACTAGCTATAACCAGTGTACATTGCTACCCTAAAATCAATAAAATAAAAAGTCCACTTAACGATTTTGAAGATTTTAACTACAATAGCTTCCCAGATTTACAATATGTAACATATTAGAGATGCCAAACAAATTACTGCAAGTTCGCCAATTCCTATCTATCTATGAAAAATTTAAATAATATAACAGTTTCCAAGATGCACGAAATTTTGTATTTAATTCATTTATGTGGTGCCAAGCCCCCAATTGAAAGTCCGCCCGTTATTCTCTAAATGTTCACATGAATGTCAGAGTTCATCATGAAACATTTGAACATTCTAGCTCTAATAGTTTCTCAGATATACGAATTTTTCTATTTAATTCATGTGGGGGCTTCAAGTTCCCCAGATGAAAGTCCGAACTTTTTCCTCCAAAATGTTTAGATGAATATTAAAGTAATTTTTGCAAAATTTGAAGAATATAGTTCGATTAGTTTCCC